CGTAGTAGTAGCAGTAGTAGCAGCAGCAGCAGTGGTAGCAGAAGTGGAAGCGGAAGTGGTTGCGGCAGTAGCATCAACAAGTAGTAGTAGCAGCAGTAGCAGCAGCAGCAGCAGCAGCACTAGTAGTAGTAGTAGTAGTAGTAGTAGTAGTCGTGGTGGTGGTGGTGGTGGTGGTATGACACTTTAGTGTCGAAGACTGACGGCCAGTTTTTTCAGCAGCCTGTAATCCTTAAACCCTAAACCCTTCAATCTAAAGTGGCTGGAACTCCATATTCGAGGAAGTTCTGCAGCGATGTCTTGCAGAGACATTGCATTCGATGGAACGGTTGCCACGGATCTAGCGCACAGAGGCACGCGAGCATTGAGATGGTTTAAATTTGGCTGGCTAGAAGCGATCTTCAGATTCAGACCCATCCAGGCCCCGGCTCGCCTCGCTAAGTACGCCCGGATACGCGTGGGAACCTGTTCTTATGGCTTCGGACTCGAGACTCCGGGACCTCCAGGGTTCCAGGCTCTTTTTATCTCACAGGTATGGATGGTGCGAGGTGGATGACAAGCTGCCGTGTGCCTCTGCTAACACTCCGCGCTGGGATTACTGCGTAGGCCAAGGCCCGCAAGACGATCCCGAGGTGCCGCTCGAAAGTGAGATGGGAGCGGTTCTGCTGCGTTACGGTCTCTTCGTGGTTGCTGGTCTGCTCAGCTTGGCTGCACTGCTGTTCTTGCGGCATTATCTCCCCGTTCGGCCCGGGCCCGTCCGCCCAGAGCGGCCCGAAGCAGAGCCCTTGCCTGACCAGACCTGTGAGCTTCCAGCAATCGTGCCCACACCGCCAAGAAGTTCAACAACCTGAGCACGGAGAGGGGGCCTCGCTTCGACTCGTTGCCCTGGATACTGGTACCTGTACCCATTATTACTCAGATTACTCATGTCTTCGTTTTGAAGGCATTGCTAATGCCCGCGCTGCTGCAAAGTCCAGCTGAGTCGCTCTCGAAGGTTTGCATCAGTTGATTCTCCCTCGCATGGAAAGTGTTGGGTCGTATGAACGGGTTAAGGTTTAGGGTTTAGGGTTTAGGGTTTAGGGTTTCAGGAAAGCGCAGGAAACATCTTGAAACCATGCCGAAACCAGAGGGGGTTTGGCACAGACACGCCGCAGCTGCACGTGTTGCATGGATACGCAACACGAGGCTTCATCTAACTAACGATGGGCAATGCCTTCTGCGCATCTTGGGGCAGCATCAAAGCAAACCAGGCAGAAAGCTCAGGTACCGAATCCCGCAGCCCACGGCATGTCGGGAATCATGCAAATCCGAAAAAGCACAAACCCCACGAGCCCTGAACCCCAAATGCACGACTTGTAGCTCCTCCAAAGCCTTCTGGAACCTCGAGTCGTCCTCAGCGCAGCTTAGAACCCCTGCGCTCTCAGACGAGCCAGGTCCTCGACGAGTCGTGCACTCGCCTCAAGGCCGAGACTCCTTGCGTCAGAGTATTCTGGTTTCAAAGCCATTGGAATAGATGGGATACCGTAGGCAGCTTAGGGTGCTGTTGGCTTTATGCTTTCAATGTGTGCTCGTAATGTCTCGGAGACGAGTTTGAAAGCCTTCATGAGCCCGTCAACCCAAACGCAAAGACTTCGAAGCCTTAAGTAGAGGAGACACGAATGGATTTGACGTAGCCCTTTGCAAACGAACCTTTTGCAAAGTAAGCACTTTTCGCACTCTCTTCACCACCTTGCTTCGCCTTCTGCACCGAACATGGAAGGTGAAAACTCGCGCTCCTGCATTTAGGTGGGGTGTATAAAATCTAAAGGAGGCATTGCAACCCAGGCACTGCCCAGGCCAAGTTTCTAGTCTGCGAAGCCCGGGGCCTCAGATCCTTATGGTACCCCCTGTAACGTACCCTTCAAGTAACCCCTAACCGAATATCACCCCTAAACCCTAAACCCTAAACCCTAAACCCTAAACCCTAAACCCTAACTGGGCCCCTAACCGAATATCACCCGCTCCCTTCTGCGAAGAGGCCGGGCTCTGCGAGGTCCAAAATGCGGCCACCCGCAGAGCAGGGCACCTGAAGTTCTGTCCGCAGAGGAAGAATGTGCGTGCGTGTGTACATATGTATGTCAATGTCTGTCAGTCTCTGCCTCTCTTTCTCCCCCTGTGTCTCTCTTTCTCTCTCTCTCTCTTTTTCTCTCCCTCTCTCCCTCTCCCCCTCTC